GGAAGCATACAGTGCGAGCAGCTGGTTAAGCGCTCAAACACTAACAAACTGACAAGATCTTTCGCTGTCTATAGGACACAACATCGGGCCCTTGACGGGATTCGAACCCACGACCTTACGGTTGCGAGTCCGAGAGCCTAACCACTAGGCCACCGATGCCACAAATCAAATGACGATAGTAAGGGTAAGGGTTACGAAAAAAGGAGCAGTTCTTTGCCGCAGTTCAGGCACAGTTGTGAGCAGGAAATTGATGAATCAGCCCATTTACAATTCTACTGTGCGAAAGAACACGTTAATGTCCCCCCATTTGGGAATGACCTAATAAAGACACAAGCGCTGAAGAGAAAGAATTTTGTAATTCTAGAGTAGCGAAGGTCCGAGGAGATATAGAGTTGGATAGATACTAAGATATATTATAGACGGACAAAAGCATATTAATATATAGATATAGAGTTGGATAGATACATAGATATAACATAGATTGATAGATACATAGATATACAAGCATACAGTTTAATAGATGCTTAGGTAGTATAAGGATGGATAGATATATAGATATTATGTAGTTGGATAGATACATAGATATTATATAGCTGGATATATATACGTTTAGAGATATAATTCAATAGATACATAGATAATATATTGATGGATATGTACACAGATACACAAGTATATAGATATATGGTTGGATAGATACACAGACGTTATATTGATTAATAGATTCATAGATATATAGATACATAGATGGATAGATACATAGATACATAGCTGAATAGGTATATAGATATTATAATTTAAATAGATACATAGATCTTATATAGATCGACAGATACATTGCTTTTATATTAACGGATAGATACAAACATAGATATTATTTGGATAGACACAAAGATACATAGCTGGATAGATACATAGATATTATATAGATACGTAGTTGGATTGATGCATAGATATTATATTGATGGATATATACATAAATATTTTTATAATAATATTATAGATGTGTAGTTCAATAGATACATCGATATTATATAGATGGAAAGCTACATATACATATTAAGTTGGACAAATACATAGATGGAAAGCTACATTACATATTAAGTTGGACAGATACATAGATGGAAAGCTACATTACATATTAAGTTGGACAGATACATAGATGGAAAGCTACATATACATATTAAGTTGGACAGATACATAGATGGAAAGCTACATTACATATTAAGTTGGACAGATACATAGATACAAAGCTGAATAGGTATATTTATAAACTATAGTTTGATAGATACAGAGAATATATTTAGATGGATAGATACATAGATACTTAGCTATATAGTAGAATAGATACACAGATACATAGCTGGACAGATAT